CACACACACACACACACACACACACACACATATGCGCGAGCGTGCGCACAATCTCACACGCTTTCGTAAGTACAGGTAAGAGACGACATCACTCGAAATAACAAATACTATCATGCTCCCTTTCTCAAACAAAAAACTAATAATATGAACACACGTATTAAGACAGGCATATGTAAAAACTAACTAACAGACAGGTCGATATGTGGAAGATAGAATTTATAAACCTACTTTGAGGTCCAAAATTCGTGTCGCAACTTATCCTCCAATATCTCTTAAGCCGATGAATCAGTGTCACTCATACTTTGAAGAGCAGCAGCTTGTATCATTTTGTCTCACTTTGTCTCAACGTAATCATATTTTCCCACAAAAATTGAAGCTATACTACAAAACATTTCTCATAAATACATCCATGGTATAATAATTAATATAGACTACTTGTACTACAAATCTCCGTCATGTAGAAAATGGGAGTGTTCACAGCACTTCCCGCTTCTCAAACACATTTTCCATACGCATAATATAGCCTATGGACTGCTCACCAATGACTCGTTTTAGTCGTAATACATTTGCCCACGCGTATATGCGATCTCCTGATAAAAGAAACGTAAAATAAATTAGAAAGAATGTTTGCTCCCTTTTTTTTAATTGTGAAACTTACAACAACAACAAATATGATGATGATGATGATGATGATGATGATGATGATGATGATGATGATGATGATGAACACCCAGGCCTATACGAACATCTGATTAAACGTGAAATCCCTATCGTGAAATCTTAAGTATATTATTTTCTACCTTAAAACATGATGATGATTATGATCATAATCATGACGATGATGATCATGATGATGATTATGATCATAATCATGACGATGATGATCATGATGATGATGATGATGTTATTGTTGTCTCCCCAGGTAAGATCACCCTGGAGACCTACCTGTCCCAGCTCCACGTTTACCTGTTGTCCAACGCGCGCACGCTGCTCGTCTACCTGGAGGGCTACCCGTTGATCAACTTCTCCCTAGCGACCATCATCTACCTCACCATCTCTCAAAGCCTCTTCCATATCACCAACGACACCAGCAACTTCATGCTTCCCAGAGACAAGAAGAAACTACTACGCAACACCTCCTATTTCGTATGCTTATTGCTTGTGTGCGGATGCCTAGCATATTTTGTCCCCATTTTGTGATTGTTTGTAGTCAACAATTTCCTGTTGTTTTTTGGCAACTATTGTTGTCCCCCCCCCCTTTTCCTAATTCGTATACGTAATCTTTGCAGGCCTCCTTTGACGTTGGGCCCACCACCCCCCCCCCCCCCTCATCGAATCGCGTATTATGGCTATGGAATGATTGTAGTTTTAGCAAGGGCCCTACTAGGGCTCTTTCCTTTCCATTAAAAAAATTACTTTTGGGTGTACGTTTGATGAATATGCATGTCACTACCAATAAACCGTCCAGCAGGCACATAAAGAAATCGGTAGGACTTGGAAATCTTTTCGTTATGTACGAATTTTGCTATGAAGATCTTCGTATTTTAATGCAGTACATGTACAGAGAATAATGTATGAATGCGAATTTTACCCAATCTGGACATGAGAATCTGTTCGCTTTGTGCTTGCTAGACTGTAATGGAATTTAAGTGACTAAGATTTCCGACCGTTTTATGACAGAGCCGGTTCAACAAAATGTACTGTGTGGGTTTGTTCTATTTATTTGTGTCATATGAGTGGGCTGTTGTCGGGGACTTTGGTGTGGGTTGTTCCTACTTTCCTACCAAACGTCTATCGTGGGCACCATTGAAATCCTTATTATTATCATTATTGCATGAATTAATTATTATTGTTGTTTTCATCATCATCATCATCATCATCATCATCATCATCATCATCATCATCATCATCATCATCTGCCTCCTTCATCAACAAAAATTATCATCACCATCGACACCAATCATCATTCTCGACAACATCACATACCATCTTGTGCGGCGCGTGGAGTGGGGGGTCGGGGGGGGGGGGCAGCGACCACCAACCTCCTCATCCGTCAGTCTTATCCCGACGGCGGCCGCCTCTT